CGTAGCGGACGGAGTCCTCGATGCCGAATGGGCCGCCAGAGTCGTCGTAGAAGATGAGGGCGACGAGGGGGAGGAGGGTTAGCTTGGGCCGAGAGGTCGGAACTGACGATGACGACGAGTGCGGATAAAGAAAACAAAATGCACATGACTGCTAGTCCCGTGCAATTCGAAAACCTTTTCTACAGCAAAACCAACCATTTTCATCTGAAAAGGGTCGGTTTTGCTATTTTCTTCAGAAAAGGTCGATTTGCTATATAAATTTGAAAAATGAGTGTTTTCAAAAATTTGCCCTATATCATATCATATCATACTCCTTTTAAAAGCACAAGTTTAGGAAAATCTTTCGGTAGACAAAAATATACTTGAAATTCAAATACTAATTCATTAAGCAATAGTAAGTTGATAAATTAATAATTTCTTATTGGATATACATAGTATGAAGATAATGATATAGTTTAAATTGGAATGTAAAGCTGAATGAAATTATTAAATGTCAAATTCATAAATGTTTACAAGATGAAGGGCGTATTGTAGGCGTCTAAAAATGCCTATAGGTATGAATATACCTATCTAAGTCAAAGAAGATCATCCAAAGTTAAAAGAAGCAAAGGAACATGTGAAATAACATAGAAGAACAATATGAACACCCGCGATAGGGAACACTGACGCGCATAGGCGCGGCAGTGGAAGGTGTTGTGCTCACAAACAGAGTAATGTGCCTATGGAAAGTTGTAGATCTCTTCGATATCTTTCCAACACATCTTGGATCACATCATTCCGGTATCGTACGAGGGAGTTAAAGGCAAAATACCCGAGACAGCGCGAACGGTCTCGGAGGTGCGCGTCAGCAGCGGCTGCCGTGGAAATGTATTGCACATTTAAGCCATGATACGATCTAAATCTGAAGAATCTCAAAAGATAAAAGTTGTAGATCTATTCGTTAGATTTCCAACTCATCTTGGATCACCTCATTCCGACATCAAACGAGAAAGTTAGAGCCAAAATACTCAGGAGGTGCGCGGCAGTGGTAACTGCCGCGGCAATGCGCGACACCACGTACTGCCGCGGCCACTGGGAAGCTGAACACGTCATTTTTGATAGT